TCGTGGAATGGTTACAGAATGCTGAGGAGGGTAAGCTTTTTTGGAAGTTAGATATTTATGATTACTGGATACATGAAGCATGTTGGAAGTATTTATTTTATGAAAACCTTGATACTGAGCAACCTTTTTTTTTTTTTTTTTTTTTTTTTTTTTTCAAATTGCAGAGTCCGATGAGTCTGGTGATGAAGATGAAGACTAAACCATTATGCCTACAGAACTCAGGACTTCTAGTGAGTTTACTTGTAATTCTTTTGTCAATCTTTTCTGAATTTTTGAATAATCAGATGCTTTAGTGAAAACAGAGTTCAAGTTCATTCCTATTCTGTTTTTTCCCCCCCACAGCCAGGCCAATGTTCGAGTAAGATGTGAACCAACCACACGCTGCCAACCACAAAGGAGCCATCCATGCCATGCTATTGTTTTATCAACCAAGAAGGCGCCTCCAAGCTATTACTTTGCTCTACCTACAGCGCCTTACTATAGTCTCCGTGAACCACATGGGACTTGATACTGCAACAGTTATTTTTGTTAAATTTTTATTTGTATATTTATTTTCTATTGCTTGAGAACACAGCATCAGAGCAGGAGCAGCAGCAGCAGCCCTCCAACACGACAAACCAGAACCCCCACAAACTGCCACCTACTGTTGCTTCGTTGATCTCTAGTACAAAATGCTACGACAGGCATTGATACTGTGGAACTCCTCGGTCAACATCGGGGTTCAGCGACCGACTGGCCTCTGGACCTTCGCCTATGAATGGCAAGGTGTCCAGGAAAGTGCTGTCTTGTATGAGTCTTTGTTGGTATTTATTTGTCCGTTGTTCAACCAGCGGTCGAGATGAATAAAAGCTGTGATTTCTCTTGTATTATTTTTGTTGTATGTGTTATACTAAAGATTGAGACCTGCATTAAAAGTTTGGACAGCGCCCAAAATAATTTTATTGGTGTGAGAGGAAGTGCATGTAATTTTGTGCAAGGAAGTAAAAGAATCCTTCAAAGATGGTGAATGAAGTGTCAAAAATAAATATTTTTAACGTTTTAAGATAGGAGGTTGCACCAGCTTACCAAATAATTGATCCTTTCGGATAAATCACTATTGTAGTACTTGGCCGTGTAAAGTGATCCAGCATTTAGTGTGAGTGTGTTCCAGGAGTATGGAAAGTGGTTACTTTTTACTTTTTTATAGAAGGGGGCTCCTCCCAGCTTGCCCATCATATTTCTTTATTTTATAATCCTTATAACTATAGGTGTGGGACAATGTTTTTGGTAAATAAAAACATTGAGAAATGTCATCTTTTATTTTCAAACCCTAGAAATTAAAGAAAATTAAATATTAAATTTTTGAATTGTGGTTACGGTATGGAACAAAGCTGAAATGTTATAAAATGTAAAAGAATTGGAAGTATTCTTTACAAATCTTTTACGTTGTTCAGTAACATTATAGGAATTGGTATAGGAAAGACTAAGACAGCATTTTGCTCCTGTAATATTGTATATGAAAATACCGTATATTCACCTTTTTTAACTATATTTGCATGGTATTCTTTCCTTTTCCTTCTCTCCCTCAATCCCAATCTGTCAACACCCTAAAATGTAAGAGCCGTGGAGAAAGGATGAATGACTGGCATTATCAGCCCGTTTTTTTTTCCTCTTTACCCTTTTCACTATTTAAACAAAGCGTTCTACAACCTTTGACATCTAACATTGTCATAATTATTCGCTCATTTTTAACCTTTCTGCCGCAATACTTAACCATTAATGCTGCATGACCTTTCGTTACCTAGGGGCATAAAACGTTGCTGATGACCTTAGATGTTGACGCGGCAGAAATTTTAAATAAGTGAAAATCCTCAAGTTGCATGGCGAAGCAGCATCGATCACAATGGCTTTTGAACAGGTTATGAATACCTCGTGGCTTTATCCTCCTGAGCGCATAGAGGCCTGTGAATTTATTCTTTAAACAGTCGATTACAATGAACCAAACACTGTCAAGGCGACGGCCACAATTAACATAATGCTGTTAAGAAGAGGTTTGATATGCAAGATTGGCACGTATCATTTATCCTTGTGTAAGATGTTGCAATGTGCAGAAAAATGTTATAATTCGTAGTAATGAATTTCACTGTGATCAGATTTTAAATGGTGCAAGAATTTGGTTCTAATTTTATATAATTGTTAAAATCGCGTAAAACTAGAAAATTTCGAAATTTCAAATCGTTTTACATTGTTTACATCAAGCTCACATAAGAAGGAATTTGACCTTTGAAAAGGAAAGGTAATTTCATGACATTTAATTAAACATAGTTATGAGGGGCATATTCTCCATCATCAAGGTGATATAGTATTACGATATCTGCATTTCGTGGCAAGTTAGTGCTTATAGCAAGTCTGTCATAAGCGGCAGAACCAAAACTCTGGGAATTAAGGGTTCCTGAATAATTTAAAGTAGACCTCTGCTTATACTTTCTCTTATTCATTGGCCACAAGTCGAATTTTAAAGCTCTGACTATTTTACTCAAAATGTAAAAAAAGATAATTGAGGTAAAATGTATCTTTATGCCACACACCAGATCGTAATTTTGACCTATGGGTATGGGGTGTGGTATGTTCTCTCCTGAATGTATTCATCTTACAGAAACATCAAAGTTCAGCCTTTTCAGAAAAAAAAAAAAGATTTTTGTTCTCCCGATTCATCAGAAACTGAAACAAATCTCGAAAAAGGATACACAGACACTTAAGGACATCAATTGTCTAAGGCAATACTGATTATCGATACTTGAAAATTGTCTGACGCGATTCCGATATATCGATTTTTCGTAGACAGGATGATACCGATACCAATACATGTGTTGCCGATACAGTGGCGCCGAAACTTTATTGTAAGAAAATAGTCCAACTGATATGTAAATATTTGATTGGGAAGTTTGGTTGGTTCACAGCAGACAATGATGCAGCAGAAAAGTGTATTTCGAACTTGTGTATCATACGCGGATATGGCCTCTCGACTTATTTCGTCAGATAAAGAAAGAAAGCGAGGAGAGAGAGAGAGAGGAGAGAGGGAGAGGGAGAGGAAGGGGAGATGACTGATTATTCCACACAATATCCTGACTTTTTATGCCCTGACTTTTTATGCAACACCTTAATTCTGCAAGTAGTTTGTAACATATACACCTGCACAGAATATATGAAATTGTTCCTAAGCATTCAAAACCAGACTTGCCATGATGTGTCCTCATTAACGATGAAAAGAACATGTTCATGGTTCTATCAACATACAGCGAACAATCTAAGGCATCTATGTATATTCAAATTTCATATAAACGATCTTGTGTTGCATTGTTGATAATGGAAAGTAAATTCAAGTATAAATTTCTGCCAAAAGATCACTGTTATATGGCAGCCTTCACAGAGTCTGAAAAGACTACTTTTTTCTATTTTTGTCTATTATCACTTCTAAAAAGGCTAATTCTGTTGCCTTCCCTATAAATAAGCGACGCATGTTTGCCTTTTAGATAAAAAAACCTAACCCTAGTTTATTTTCTGCAGCACATGAAACGTCTAAATAACAAATAAAAATCTCAAATAAGCATTGAAATGAAGAGGAAACGGGTCACTTTGCAATTCACTGATATTAACTTCATCTTCAAATTGGTCATGAAAATGTATTGACGTGACGTTGAATCGATACTGCCCATCTCTGACCAGACATGCCCTAGCCACTGTATTCCTGAAGGAAGTGAGGTACCTCGCCTTAATAGCTCCATTTCTCGAACATTGATACCTTTAGACTTACGAAACCACTATAAAGCTGGAGAAACGAGACACTTTGGAGGTCCGAATAGTAGTTTTTACATTATAGAAGGAATATGCTTCAAAATAAAACGTTTTGGGGAATACGTTAAACTAGTATACACGCGCGTTTGGAAGCTCAGTAAGAGGCAATTGAGCATTAGTTTGTCTGTTATGTAGGTTTCATTTCAGCGCTCAATTGTACTCGAGGTTTTGAGTTTTAATGGCATATTTGTATTTTTCTTTTCCTATATGTCTTATACATGAATGTTGAAATGTTGATTAGGGAGTTATCCCAATATTATTTTAGTGTTGTTTAAGGAATATTGTATATCAAGGATGTTCTAGTATGCAATGGCGTGCTGGGGATGAGATTGGAAGGGGTGCAAAGGGTTGAAATGGCGCCCCCTTCCGTGATTACATTTTTGCTGTTGTACTTCGTTTTATTTATCATCCATTTATAACATTAAAATCGAAGTTTAGCTGTGTTGATGGAAAGAGTCAATCAGCTTTCGTAAATCATGTAAAATTACATGAAGGCAACTCAGGCGCCTTCGACGTCCCTTATGCACTTCGGCGCCCCCCCCCCCATTTCATCAGCAGGAGGGGCAATTACCCCCCCCCCCCCTGCCAGCACGCTACTGCTAGTATGGTTGTAACAGTTTGTGCTGTGGACGCATTATTGCAAGGGTGGGAAGTGGTTTTGTAATCTAATGGTAATATGTTTTGTTATTTTTTCTTATCTAAAATGCACACTAAAAACACACAATATGTACTATATATATATATATATATATATATATATATATATATATATATATATATATATATATATATATATATATATATATATATATATAATACATCACGTGTGTGTATGTTTGTATGTTCAACACACACACACACAGATACGTGTGTATGTTGTGTGTTGTGTGTGTTGTGTGTATATATATACATATATATATATATATATATATATATATATATATATATATATATATATATATATATATTATGTATACATACATGCATACATAAATGCATATGTATAAACACAAATGTGTGTGTGTGTTTATATACATACATATATATGTGAGTGCTCATTTCGGAAATATTAACGTTTACTGGGCTTTTCCAGCTCGAACGTGATATTCTTTATTTCACAATGCTTCTGGAAGAGGCACAAAGCTTATGGTGAATAAAAACATTGAGAAAAAATACTTTTTTATTCAAAAAGCAACCTTTGTAAAATCTTGATTATAAAACTAGAAAAAATGTAAACAAAATAAAGTATAACTCTTACATATGTACAAAATAACGAGGTAACAACATTCTAACTAAATACATACAGTAAATGTGTAACACCATGTTACAGTTCAGTACTTCAAGAAAAAGGACATTGTTATTAGTGACTAAGTTCCACAGTTTCTTTTGTTGATAACTTGGCGTATTCCGGGAAAATGAGTGGGGGACGGGGACGGGGGGGGGGGGTGGCACAAGTTAGTTGATTAGAATCCCAACTTTCTCGAAGCTTTTGTAGAAGTTTGTAAAATTCGCGAACGCTCCCGCTGTCACTGGCACGCGCTGCAGGACTCGGGGGGGAAAACCTAAACTGATATGAGTGCCAGTGAAGCGAAGCATTCAGAGATAAAGGGAGGGAAAAATATGTATAAAATTATAAGGAAAACTGACAAGCCGGTGCGACCTTATCAGGGAATAGACTGTAATGGGCTGCGTCTACTCCTGACAAGCTCTTCCCGATTAGGCTTGCGCTACCTGGCCGATTGGGATGATGGACTGGGCGGGGATCAGGTGGAGCGCCGGTTGGTTTGCGTTGACCAGGCTCGAGAGGACGCCAGCTTGCGAGGTCGCGGGCGCCCCCCTCACGGTTGCAGCTGCGAGGGGCTGGCCGATCTGGAACTCCACCGTAGGGCCAGCCAAGTTGCTTCTGGCAGCAACGCCTGCGCTGCCTAGTTGGTTGCCAATGAAGCCTTGACTTGCAACCTGCTCTGAGCTGAGAATTGGAGCCGAGATCAAGGCATTCGCAACGGGTCCGGGGCCAAAGCCGAAGCCTCCGCCAGGCCCTGCGAACTGGCCATCAAATGGAGCCCCCAGTCCACCGGCAGAGTGGCCAAATGCGGCAGCCGCCCCTTGGCCTCCGCTTGCGGCGAATGATGGATCGGCAATTAAGGGACTTGCTGTAGGGCCCACTGGAAATCCTGGACCACCTCCAATTCCTATCTGATTGCTTGCAAACCCTGCTTGACCACCTGCAAATCCTGCACCTCCCGGGCCTCCTCCAATGTCTATATTCAGAGTGCCATCAAAGTTTACTTCTGCTGGGCCTCCGCCAAATCCTGGACCCGCATGGCCAGCAACGAGTCCTGGACCACCTCCGAATCCTGGACCCACTTCAAACCCCAGGTCAGTCCTAAATCTAGCTTGAGCATCACCGAATCCTGCTCCTGCTCCAAATCCTGGTCCAGCCTGGCCACCCTCAAAAATAGGCTCAGGTGTCACAGGGCCAAAGCTCACTCCAGCACCAAGATCTGGCTGGCCGCCGATGAATCCTGGATCACCTCCAAAGGAAATCTGATTGTCTACAAACCCTCCTTGACCGCCGCCAAATCCGGGTCCAGGACCGACGTCAAAGCCTGGTCCAGCCTGGCCAGCTCCAAATGAAGGATCAGATACCAAGGGGCTTGCTATGGGTCCACTTGTGAAACTCTGGCCACCTCCAAACCCTGCATCTTGTGCGCCAAAGCCGGGTCCAGGACCGACGTCAAAGCCTGGTCCTGCCTGGCCAGCTCCAAATGAAGGATCAGATACCAAAGGGCTTGCTATGGGTCCACTTGTGAAACTCTGGCCACCTCCAAACCCTGCATCTTGTGCGCCAAAGCCGGGTCCAGGACCGACGTCAAAGCCTGGTCCAGCCTGGCCAGCTCCAAATGAAGGATCAGATACCAAAGGGCTTGCTATGGGTCCACTTGTGAAACTCTGGCCACCTCCAAACCCTGCATCTTGTGCGCCAAAGCCGGGTCCAGGACCGACGTCAAAGCCTGGTCCTGCCTGGCCAGCTCCAAATGAAGGATCAGATACCAAAGGGCTTGCTATGGGTCCACTTGTGAAACTCTGGCCACCTCCAAAGCCTGCTTGGTCACCAAATCCTATTTCTTGTCCTCCAAATCCTGCTCCTGCTTGTCCTCCAAATCCAGCACCTACTTCTCCACCTGCAAATCCTTGACCACCAAATCCTGCTGGTGGTCCTCCAAATCCTGCTGGTGGTCCTCCTTGAATCCTGCTGGGTCCTCCAAATCCTGCTGGTGGTCCTCCAAATCCTGCTGGTGGTCCTCCAAATCCTGCTGGTGGTCCTCCAAATCCTGCTGGTGGTCCTCCAAATCCTACTTCTTGTCCTCCAAATCCTGTTGTTTGTCCAACAAATCCTATTGATTGTCCTCCAAATCCTGCTCCTGCTTGTCCGCTGCCAATGCCTCCTGCTTGAATGGCCACGTCATCCACTCTGTTCGAGAAGGGAACTGAGCCCTGCGATGCGATGCCAGCACTAAATCCAGGGATGTCAAACCCACCACTGGCTGCTCCTGAGTGAAAACTGACTTGGCTAACTCCTCCAACGTCTCCTCCAGAAACAAGAGGGCTTGCTGTGGGGGTTATACTAGAAGGAGTCACGGAAAAGCTAGTGCTGGACACGAAAGGACTTCCTGTAGGAGTTACACTTGGAGAAGTTACGGAAAAGCCACCACCAGTTACTGGAGGACTTGGAGTTGTCACAGAAAAGTGTGTGCTGGATACAAATGGACTTTCTGTAGGAATTATAGGAGTTATACTAGGTGTCACTGAAAAACCTCCCCCAGAACCCGGAGTAAATGGTGCAGGAGTTACACTGTGGGGAGTCACTGAAACACCTCCAGGACCCGGAGTAAATGGTGCGGGAGTTACACTGTGGGGAGTCACTGAAACACCTCCAGGACCCGGAGTAAATGGTGCGGGAGTTACACTGTGGGGAGTCACTGAAACACCTCCAGGACCCGGAGTAAATGGTGTGGGAGTTACACTGTGGGGAGTCACTGAAACAGATACTAGAGGACTTGCTGTGGGGGAGACACTTGAAGGAGTTACGGAAAAGCCTGTACTAGATAAAAAGGGACTTGCAGGAGTTACACCAGGAGGAGTCACAGAATGACTTACAGGACTTGGTGTAGATACAAAAGGACTTGCTGTGGGAGTTACACTAGATGGAGTCACTGAAACACCCCCTCCAAAACCAGATGTCAGAGCTTGGGCACTTGTAGTTCCAAATCCTGATCCTTGGGCACCTCCAACACTAATTTGTGTAGTTCCGAATCCTACTCCACTTTGGGTACTACCAAATCCTATGGCTCCTTGACCACTTTCGAATCCTACTCCACCCTGGGCGCCTGCGAATCCTGGTGCTGCCGTACCACCTCCAAATCCAGCTCCATGGCTACCTCCAATACTGACTTGTGTCGCTCCAAATCCTGCCTCTCGTCCACCTCCAAAGCCGATTCCTCCCTGAGCACTGCCAGCAAAGCCTCCAACTCCTGCTCCTTGACCTCCAAATCCTACACCCTGGGTAGCACCAACTCCTGCTCCTTGGCCAGCTCCAAACCCTATCCCTCCCTGGACTCCTCCAAGACCGCCAAAGCCTCCCTGAGCACTTCCACCAAATGCTGCAGTTCCCTGGGTGCCTGTAAAACCAGTAGCAACACCACCCACACCTGCCTGACCTACTGATACCTGGTTACCTGCTCCAAAGGTAGGGCCAGAGACCAAGGCACTTGCCACAGGGCCGGGGGTGACTCCAGCACTAGTCGGGGAACCAGAATGATGAACAGAAATGCCGCCAGGGCTGCCACTACCAAAGGACAGTGAGGTTCCTCCAGTCTGGTGGACACCAGAAGTAGCTAGCCCTCCTGTTTGTTGAGAAGCAAAGGCACCTCCACCAGTCTGAGTGCCAAACCCAGCTCCAGCTCCAGTATGATGAACTGTAACTCCAGCACCACCCACACCACCTCCAGTTTGAACCCCAAAACCAGCTCCACCTCCAGATTGGTGGACAGTTACCCTGGTACCACCTAAACCTGCTGCACCTCCAGTTTGAACGCCAAAGCCAGCACCACCTCCTGTCTGGTGAACAGTTACACCGGCACCAAGTCCGCCTCCTGTCTGGTGAACCAC